TGATACCTCTTCAGAATGGGGATTGGGGAGAGAGGCATGTGGAAGCAAAGTGAAGACATGTGGGTACGTGATTCTAGGTCAGGCGCCCAAAGCTTGTCCAGGCTGCCCTGGAAGCCCCAGCGAGAGTGGGAGGGCCAGGCGTGGTGACTCTGTAATCCCAGCACTTTGGGAGGCCAAGGTGGCTGGATCACTTGAGGCCAGGAGTTCAAGACCAGCCTGGCCAACATGTTGAAACCCCATCTCTACTAAAAATACAAAAGATTAGCCGGGCGTGGTGGCAGGCACCTATAATTCCAGTTACTGTGAAGGCTGAGGCAGGAGAATAGCTTGAACCCAGGAGGTGGAGGTTGCAGTGAGCCGAGATCGTGCTACTGCACTCCAGCCTGAGCGACAGAGCGAGACTCCATCTCAAAAAAAAAAAAAGAGCGGGAGCAGTTGCTTTCCTTGACAGTCTTTTACCAGAGACCACTCTGTGAGGGCCGACCCTCACCTCGGCATTAACTTGCACAAGGAGGACAGAAAGATCCCCGGACCCCTGCGTGAGTCTCAGTGAGCTCAGGTACAGCCTGCTGCATCCTTAGGACACAGCTCACTGCTCGATGAGTGTCTGTGGGGCTCTGTGTGGGGGGGTTGAGGATGTAAAGACCTATGGGGCAGTGGTTCCCTTTTACTTCCAACAACTGAAAATGTACAAGTGGGCCATGATGCAGCATTTAGGACTTGAGCTCACAAAGGAGACCGAAGAACTGTATTTGTGGGGTCAGACGCAGTTGGGCTGGATCCAGCGTCTGCCACCTTCTTGTTTTGTGACCTCAGGCAAGTGAGTCCTTGGAGCTTCAGTTTCCTGTTCTGTACAGTGAGGGTGGAGAGAGTTGTGGGGCCATGAGGATTGGGCTAGGTCTGGAATGTGAAGTGCCTGGCATGCAGTGAGTGCTTAGTAAGTCAGCCACTGTTGAAGTGCTGACAAGCAGAGGAGTCCTCTCAGGCCAGGGAACAGGGAATGGCCTTGCGGATGTGAGGGAAGATTTCAGTGGGGTCCTGAATGAGGAGAATTTGAATGGGCAGAAAAGAAGCAGGGTTAGGGCATGAGCCTGGTTCTGTTCTGTGGCAGGAGCTTGGCCAAAGGTGGGGTGAGGGCATCTGTACCCGGAGTGCAGAGAGGTGGGTGATGGTCTGCAGCCTGGGCTTCGGCCTGCAGGGAGTCAGGGCCATGGAGCTGAGTAAGAGGATGACCCCTTGCTTGGGGTGCCAAGGGAGTCGTGTGGTGGCAGATCCAGAATGTGGAGACCAGGGCAGGCAGGCTGCTGGGGGCACTGGTGCAGCTGACCCTGGGCAGGGAGATTTGGGCCTGATCCTGAGGTGGCTGAGAGCAGAGATTCAAGAGCAGACCACCTTGGTCTGAACTCTAGCTCTGCTGCTGCTTTGTTGGGGCTCCTTTTATTCTCTGTGCCTCAGTTTCTTCATCTTTGAAGTGGAGTTAGCTCCTCCTCATACAGTGGATTGTTAAATATGTAAGATGCTTGGAACAGTCTGTGGCACACACTGTTAGCGCCCTAAGCACTCGCCTACTGCAGCGGTGGTCGCGGGAATGGAAAGAAAGAGTAAGTACATGGGAAGTGGCTAGGGACAACCTGAGCCACGTGCAGAGGAAAAGGGATCAAAAGAATAACTGAGGTCTGGAGAGAAAGATGACAAGGTATGTTGAGTTTAAATAGAAATGTCCATTTGGGTTTGGAACCCCTGTATCTTGGGAGAGTGGTTGGAGCTAAGGACGGAGATTTGGGGGTTTTCTGGATAACAACTATAATCAAAATCCCACAGTTGGCTCAAATGGGGGAGGCTTTTAGCCTCCAGCCAGGACTCACTGCACATGTGGCAGAGTTCAGTCTCCCCAGCGTGGGGGTGAGAGGTGGAGCACAGGCACAAGTACCCCTGTCCCCACCAGCCAGAGTCTGGTCATTTTTGGTATTCAGTCATCTTACTTGCTGCCCAGTCAGAAATATCTTCCTGGTTGGCATCGCTCTAGGACAGTTTCCCAGCTCAGTTCCATTCTGTGGAACCACAGGATGAAGGTAGGTGCAGTGAGAAGGAAAACAGGGTTTTGCATGCAAATACGTTTGAAAAGTGTTAGATAAAACAAAATGAAAACGACCCCATTTTCGGCCGAGTTTCTTGGGGCCTAAGGCACAGTGTCAGTCTCCAAGGGGTGACAGGGAAAAAGAAGCGTTTCAGTGTTCCTTCTGGAAGCAGCTTTGGAACTAGGATCTCCGAAACGGCGTAGAGATCACCCCGGATTGCCCTTGTCATATCCCCAAGCCCCACGTGGACAGATGCATCACACACACTCACAGCTGTCTTTTATTCCTGTTCATTCCTTGTTAAGAGGCTTTGACTCTTCAGAACCCCAGGGGCAGCCCCTCTTTTCTGCCCCTCCCCACCCATCTCTGGGTGCTTTCTCCTTTGCAGCTATGCCTGTGTCTTTTGTGCTCATAGGAAAACAGGCTGGTCAGCCACAGCAGTCCTCCTTTTCTGGAGAGTTCCAACCCTGTTGACGTCCCTGCATCCTGCACAGCACCTCCCTCCACCAAAGTCCCTCCGTGGCAGGCCTGGGCCACATAGCCAAGGGAAGCTGATAACATGCACTTTATTTAAAAGCCACAAAACTGTCCTCTCGAAGTGATCCTTCTGTGAGCTGTCCACATCAGCCTGGCCTGATGCCCCACTTGGCCTCAGTCAGCGTGGCTTGGCTCTGAGTCCAGAAGATAGCAAGGGTGCAGCTTTTATGTCCTTGTACTCCACTCAAGCCCAGCCTGGCACAGAGGATAGGTTAAGCCCCATCAGTCCTGGCCCCGAATGTCTGCTTGGTTTGGCCCAATCCAGTGCCCCCGACCTGCTCTTTTTTCCCAGGAAAGAGCATCTATGGTGAGCGCTTCCCCGATGAGAACTTCAAGCTGAAGCACTACGGGCCCGGCTGGGTGAGCATGGCCAACGCAGGCAAAGACACCAACGGCTCCCAGTTCTTCATCACAACAGTCAAGACGGCCTGGCTAGATGGCAAGCATGTGGTGTTTGGCAAAGTGCTAGAGGGCATGGTGAGTTCTGGAAGCAAGGGCTACTACTGGGCTGTCCTCACTGGGGATTCAACACAGACCCCAGGGCAGGAGCTCCACGTGTCCATCCCTTTCCCAAAAGGACCTAACCCACAGATGCGGCCCAGTGCTCCTGTCCAGAATAAACCCTGTACCTCCATGCCTCCAACGTTCTACATTCTTCCAGCCCCCTCAGAGCCCAGCCAGGAAGCCTTGTTAAGGCTGCACAACTGCCGGAGCCTCCCTCCCCTCATTCACCCAGGGATGTGCTGGTCCCACTCCTGAGTTGTACAGAGTGCAGCTGAACACAATGTCCCTGAGAAGCCACATTTCCTGCTCACCCTCTTCCTCCTCCTTGCCCTTGGCCAAACCTGGGTCTTCAAAGGAATACAATTCCTGCATCCCCTTGTCAAATCTGCATTCTCTCTGCTCTGGCCAGGAGTCCGTTAGAATTTTGGTGCCTCCAGTTTTGTGTGCTGTTGATGACTTGTGGGTCTCAGCCCTCCTGAGTCATATGCTGGGGTCTTTCTCCTGAGCGGTGGACCTCCTGACCCACCGTGCCCTCCTACTTCCACCTTTCTTTTCCAGGAGGTGGTGCGGAAGGTGGAGAGCACCAAGACAGACAGCCGGGATAAACCCCTGAAGGATGTGATCATCGCAGACTGCGGCAAGATCGAGGTGGAGAAGCCCTTTGCCATCGCCAAGGAGTAGGACCCAGGGACCTCTTTCTTTGAGTGACCGTCTGTGCAGGCCCTGTAGTCTGCCACAGGGCCCTGAGCTGCACTGGCCCCAGTGCTGGCATCTGGTGGAGCGGACCCATTCCCCTCACATTCCACAGGCCCATGGACTCAGTTTTGTAACAGACTCCTACCAACACTGACGAATAAAAAAAAAATGTGGGGTTTTTTTTTATATATATAATGTGTGGGCCTGGTTCTTGAGCCTGCAGCGCTTCCCCTAGGCCTACATCCCAACATGCCTGCGACTCTGCTGCGCCTGCCCCTTCCCTGGGATCCTGCCTGAAACTGACCCAGGAGCTACCCAGGAAAAGTCAGGCAGGAGCTTTTGCCTCCTGCTTCTAAACTTTGCCAGCTACTGGGCCTCCACATTTGCTCCCCTTGCCACCACCCTCCAGTCTATGTTAAGGAATATACCTGTACTTTTTCATAGCCTACCTCTAAAGTGACTTTTTTTTTTTTCATAGAGACAGGTCTCACTATGTTGTGCAGGCTTGTCTGAAACTTCCAGACTCAAGCATCCTCCTGCCTTGGCCTCCCAAAGTGTTGGGATTACAGGCATGAGCCTCCGGACCCAGCTGACTTCTTCCTTTATTGTTTATTTATTTATTTTTTGAGACGGAGTTTCGCTCTTGTTGTCCAGGCTGGAGTGCAGTGGCGCAATCTCGGCTCACCACGACTTCTGCCTGCCGGGTTCAAGCGATTCTCCTGCCTCAGCCTCCTGAGTAGCTGGGATTATAGGCATGCACCACCACAATGCCTGGCTAATCTTGTATTTTTAGTAGAGACGGGGTTTCTCCATGGTGGTCAGGCTGGTCTCGAACTCCTGACCTCAGGTGATCCACCCACCTTGGCCCCCAAAGTGCTGGGATTACCAGCGTGAGCCACCGTGCCTGGCTGACTTCTTCCTTTATTACTTATCTTCTTGACCCTGCCTTGGTTCTTGGGCTCTAAGAGCATGCAGATTCTACTACCTCCAGCTACCAATGCAAGCCAAGTTCTGAGCCTTGAGTGGGAATGTAGCACAACTGGACATTGAGTAGTTAAGTCCTGGGTCCAGGCCAAGGGAGGACCTAGTCTTATATGGAGTTCATAGGACAGAGGCACATGACTTTCTTAGGAGGCAGCCAAAGGCCTCTGGACTGATCAGGGCATCGGTGGCAGAGGAGCAGGGTGACAGGCCGCCTTTGGCTGGGCTTTATCTGGGCTGATGCTGAAGCTGTAGAGGCCCTGGAGCACACCATTCACCACCACGTTGGGCAGCAGCTCTGTGGGATAGAATTAAACAGGTCTGGCCTCAGGCCTGCAGCTCCTTGAGCTCCTGCTCATGGGCTCAGCCCCCACTTGGGAGTAGGAGCCCTTGCCAAGGTAGCAGACAGCAGCTGTCCACCCCAAATGAAGCCTCAGCATTCCCAGGTCACATTCTGTTCATATCAGCTTGGTAAAGAAGTCAGGTTGCTGAGGAAATGGAGACCCGGGAAGCCAAACTTGTTTTCCTTGTGTCTACAAAGCAGGCTCCAGGGAACAGGAGCAGGAGGTAGTGGCTCCAGAGGTGGGCAGCAGGAAGGTGATGCTGCCTGACGGTCCCAGGAGCTGAGAAATGCCAAGCCCATACCCTACCCCTGTAGCCCGGTATCTAGGCACCTCCTCACCTGGGGAGGGGGTGCAAACATAGGGATCCATATGGAAGCTCAGGACAGGCCGCTGGTGCTGCTGGGAGCTGGGAGGAAAGAGGGTCATGAACCATGGGTGCAGGAGGCAGGGCAGAATCCCACAGAGGGGTGGAGACGGGGCTGAGATCACCAGGGACCCATGAAGGAAAAGATGAGTGGGAAATGGGCTCAGGAGGCACCAAAGGGAAAACAGACTTCAGGGCCCAGGCCAGACAGGCCCAGGGAGCAGGCCCGCCTCCTAGCATATGGCCACTAGGGGGCGGCAGGGGCCAGGCGCGGGCTAGGGCTTTGACTTGCCTGCTGTCGCCAGGCAGGAACTCCCCCAGGGCGCTGAAGAGAAGAGAAACACTGTAAGCTGCCTGGGGATGCCCGGGGAGTGTGAGGAAGGGGTGGAGACACCAGAGCCCAGAACTGCGCCTCCCAGGGGACCACTGCTTCTATTTGTAACAAGCCCCAGTTCCGGAGGTGGCTGGGGTAACCAAAGCTGTCCAAAGAAAAGCCCCTCCACCCAGGTCAAGAAGGCTGGTGACGGTGGTCATGTCAAGCTGGATCCCGGCAGATGTGAGACGAAAGGGCTTGCCCTCCAACACCTTTCCTCACCTGTTCACTGCCGACAGCCCCTGGCCCCCGCCACCGGCCCCCCTTACCCCCAGTTGCTAGCCTTGGGATCTGTGGGGAAGTGCCGAAGTCTCAGGAATTCCAGTAACTCCTTGGGCACCTCCTGGTTCAGGTACAGGATGCCCTGGAGAGGACAGAGGAGACTTGCAATCGGACCCAGCTACTAATTTGCATAGCACAGTGCCAATGAAAACGCAGGGCTCTTTGTTCCAAAAAAAGAATTTCAAGACAATGACAGCAGAGCATTGAACCAGGCTCAGGGCCCTTCTGAGCGCTGGGCCCTGTGTGCACAGGTTGTACCCCATGATGTGGCATAACTTCGCTGTTGGGGGAAGGACCCTCACCCTACATCCCATCAGGAGGGCAGCACAGGACCTCACCCCGGAGGGGACAGGACCTGGCTTTCATGGAGCTGGGACTACCTGTGTCCATTACCTCATTCAGTCCTTTCAACAGTCCAGAGGTGGGTGTTTGGACTTATATTACTCTACAGAAGATTGATGCTTGAGGTGGTGAATAACAACCCCAAGTCGTGGGTTCACTCCCTGCCATGCCCTCACACCTCTCTGTCTGGGCCACACCCCTGGCACAGCAGGCTGGGGGGCAACCAAGTGTGCCCTCGCATACCTGGATGTAGGCCTCCAAGCCCTGCCGGCGCTGTTCCAACCCTCTGGTCCTCCAGTTGGGCAGGCGTTTCGAGGGGAAGTCGGGCACTTTGTACAGCTTCTTGATCTACTGGAGGTTTACCGCGTGCAATCACAGCATCCCGACTGAGCCCTCAAGCCCTCTTCGCCCGAGCCGGAAACCCTCCCGCGCCCCCGCCTTCGGGCTGTACCCTGGGACAGACCCTGGTGAGTGGTGGACAGGCGGAGGGCGAGGAAGGCTCCAACCCACCCACAGACGCCCGGGGGCTGACCGGCCTCGCAGGGACTGAGGCAGTAATAGGGGTGGCGGAGGCTGGGGCTGGAGCTCGCCCGCCGGCCTCACAGGGCCTGGGCAGGGGCTGGACGGAGGCTGGGCCGGGGCCGGGGCCGGGGCCGGGGCCGGTGGGAGGTCGGCGCCGCCTCACCCGCTTGTGCAGCGCGTGGAACTCGCTGTAGCGCCTCGGCACCGTGTGTCTGCGCCCGCTGCACAGCACCTCCACTTGGAACACCTGGCGGCGCGGGCGGGCAGCGGGGGTACGCGTGAGGCTCCGCGGGAGGACACAGCAGAACCTGCGCCCGGCGACGCGCCCACCCTCCCGCGCTCAAAGGCACAAAGCGGCCTTGCGGCACCGCGGCTCCTCGGGGACGCTTCGCTCCCGCACACCTGGAAGAACGGGCTGGCGGACCCTCCCCTCGGCGCCCTGGGGTCCCTCAAGAGCTCGAACCACGGTCCGCGAGGCTGGCAAATCCAAGAGGCCCCCAAACCCTCGACAAGGTTTCCCCCGACGGTCCAGCCCGCAGCGTTTGTTCACCAGGGCCCGGGCTCCGGGTCCCCACTGAGTGCAGCGCGGGCAAATCCTGCGGGTACCGGCGCCCCTCCCCATCCAGGGGCCGCGCTCACCATGTGGCCTTTCTCCGGGCTCTGCCTGGGCCCCTCGGCCTCAGGCCCCACCGACGGGATGTGAACTTCCAGCATCCGCGCCCCGGCCCCGGCCGCTCCGCGCGCTGGGCTCGGAGCCCTAACTCTCCGGGAGCTGACGGAGGACCCCGGCGCGGCCGGCCCCGCCCCCTCGGCCCGCAGGCCCCACCCCAGGCCCCGCCCCCAGGCGACCCCGCCCCGGGCGTTCCCTTGCGCGGCGGGTTCTGAGCCTAGAAGATTAAGCGGGACTCGGACGCCGCCTCCCAGGTCTAGTGCGCCCGCAGCGCGGGGCAGTGGAGTCACCCGTTTGTCAAACATTGACGGAGCCCTCACTGATGCCAGGAACTGGGGAGCAAAAATGTCACCCATCCTGAGTTAAGCGCCTGCTATGAACTAAGGACCGACCTGTGGCTCCTGGCGTGGCCGGAGGTGGGACCCGGGCCTCAGCGCCGGTCCTGGGGCCAACCAGGGACCTGTATTGTGTTCCTCAGTCCCTTCCCAAGCCTTTCCCTCCTTTAATCCTGCTCCCTGGGATTGTGATATGGAGTCCCCAGCTGAGGCCACACCTGAGCAAGGCTTGAACCCAATCCAGCTTTGATGCCCCCTTTTGCAGCATCCACAGCACACCCCCACGCCCCCCCCCACACACACATTCATTCATTGTTTTCATCCATCCATTCACTCCTATCTTCCAACCCTAAGGGTCTCCAGGCTGTTTGTGGGGAAGAGGCAGTTTAGGGACCTAAGCTCCGATTTGGGGGTCAGAAAGCCTGAATTTCAGGAGCTCTGTAGACCTTTGCTCATCTGCAAAATAGGGATAACGTGACTCCTTCAGGCGAGTGTATAAAGTGAGATGATTTGGCGGGGCACGGTGGCTCACGCCTGTAATGCCAGCACTTTGGGAGGCCAAGGCAGGCGGATCACCTGAGGTCAGGAGTTCGAGACCAGCCTGACCAACATGGTGAAACCCTGTCTCTACTAAAAATACAAAAATCAGCTGGGTGTGGTGGCACATGCCTGTAATCCAAGCTACTCAGGAGGCTGAGGCGGGAGAATCGCTTGAACCTGAGAGGCAGAGGCTGCAGTGAGACGAGATCAAGCCATTGCACTCCAGACTGGGCGACAGCAAGACTCTGTCTAAAAAAAAGTGAGATGATTCGTGTTAGGCCCTTAACAGAAGCATTGAGTAGCAGCTTGACTGTGGGCTTGTCCTGGATGACTAGGATTAGTGGGCACAGGGCAGTGGATGGGAAGAGGACTCTGGGGGTTGGCACCGGGTTGCTCTTGTCCACCCCTCTGGGCAGGTTCTTCCTGGATATGTGACAGGATTTTGATCCAGAACTCTTTTCAGGCCATGTGCTGGAAAGGGCCTCTGTTCCCACCTCTCAGCCCTGCACCCTCCAGCTGTCGGGAGAGTTATCAGCAGCAGCAGCATGGCAGGTCTTCTACTCCACTGACTTCCCCTACAAAGGCCCGGTGACATGCGAAGAGGGGAGGCCCTGCCTTCCAAAGCTCATACGTAGTGGGAGGTCTTGCGGTGGGCAGGAGGAAGCAGAGTGCCTGTCTTCGGGGCTGGGGTTGAGGGGACTCACCCCTCCCCTGCTCCTGCAGAGATGCCTCTGAGCTGGAGCAAAAACCTCCATCCCCAGCCCTGTCCCCAGAAAAGGGCTGAGATGACGACCCCAAAATGGGGCAAACAGATCTCACCAATACCATGTACCACACTCTCTTTTTCCAAATTGCATCACACAAGGACCACAGAATCAGGAAGCTGAAACTTCCCAGATTCTAGTGGGGTCCTCTAGAAGAAAAGCAGCCCAGAGTGAGGAGAAGTGCTGTGCTTTCATTTCCTCCCTAGGGCCCCATCATTCAGGGACCCAGCTTTCCCTGGCCTACAGGGCCTCCCCAACTGCCGCTGTCCAGGGAGGCCTCTCCTGGGATCCTCAGATTTCTTGGTCTCCATCCTAATGACTGTCTGCCCCTCTGTCTCTGGGTCTCCATTTTTTCCTGCCTTCGTCCCCAATAGAACGTCCATTCTCTACCCTACAGCACAAACTGTTATCAAGGCATGTGCTTAAAACCTTCCAATGTTTCCCACTGCACTTAGAATAAAACCCACTCTCCCTATGCAATCCACAAAGCTGTAAACCACCCAGCCCAGTCTCCATCTTCCACCTCATTCCTCTCCTCTCCCCATCATGCACCAGGCTCTTCCAACCTGACAAGCTCTTTCCTGCCTCAGGGCCTTTGCATTAGGCTGTTTGCTCCACCTGGGGACACTCTTCCTTGACTCTTCAAGGATTGGACTCATCCTCCAATTCTTAGCCTAAAACTCAACTCAAAAAGACTTTTTTTTTTCAGACAGGGCCTCACTCCAGTCGCCCAGGCTGGAGTGCAGTGATACAATCAAGGGGCTCACTGCAGCTTAGGTGATTTTCCCACCTCAGCCTCCTGAGTAACTGGGACTACAGGTGCGCACCACCACACCCAGCTAATTTTTGTAGAGACGGAGTTTGGCCATGTTGGCCAGGCTGGTCTCGAACTCCTGGGCTAAAGCTATCCACCCACCTTGACCTCCCGAAGTGTTGGGATAACAGGCGTGAGCCACCGCACCTGACCAAGGCTTCCTTCTTGACTCCTATCATATGACCCTTTCTATGCACTTATTACAGTCTGCAATTACTGTTTGGTTACTGTGTGTCTCAAAAACATTTGGGTTGAAAGACTATGTGAATATTTGTGACTGACAGACTGTATGAATGAATGGGCAGTAGGGGTATGTTGAGAAAAAACTAGGGAGGGGAAGGAGCAGGGGCTGCTGAAGGGTTAAAGGCTGCCTGCAAGATGGGACAACAAGACTCTTTTTCCCACCTCCAGAGTTAAACACACCTCTCCTCTCTTCTCTCTTGGCAGATCGTTGTCTACTTTATCCATTCACTTAATTTTCAGGTGTTCCAGGAAGCCTCAGATCAGTGGATTTTCATCACCAGTTGTGGAAAGAGATTCCATGCAGCTGACTTGTCAAACATGTGACAGTGAACCTGCAGCTCCTAATTGCACAGTGTTCCACGGCACAAGAGTGCAGGTACAAACGAAGAAAAACAAGATCCTTGACACGGAGGCATTTCAGATGTCTTTGGGGAGATAAAACAAGGTCTGGAGAATGTTTTCCAATTTTTAAAAATCAATGATGTATTCATGTATTGAGACAAGGTCTCACTCTTTTTTTGAGGCTGGAGTGCAGTGGCACAATCGTGGCTCACTACAGTCTTGACATGCCAGGCTCAAGCGCTCAGCCTCCCGAGTAGCTGGGACTACAGGTATGCACTATTAAGCCTGGCTAATTTTTGTTTTGTTTTGTTTTGTAGAGACAGGGTCTCACAATGCTGTCCAAGCTAGTCTCCAAGTCCTGGGCTCAACTGATCCTCCTGCCTGGGCCTCCCAAAGTGCTGGGATTATAGGTGTGAGCCACCGTGCCCGGCCAAATATTTTCCTATAAAGAGGAACACATGACATGATGTAAATACCATAGCAGTTATTCCAATCAAAGAAAGTTTGCTTTCTGTACACTTTCAGCGCTGGCCAGCTCAGCATATGAACAGCATATTCCAGGCTCTATGTGACGGGTGTGCAGACCTCAAAGTAACTTCTGTTTTTAGAATGAGCTGTTTTACGATACAAGCTTTTGTCTTTTCTCCACCACGATCTAGCACGTGGATTGTATTTCCATATTAGATTATAGTAGTTATCAGACTTTAGCAATCTTTACCACCTGTAGGGCTATGACATCTCAGATTTGAGTGCCCTGGCCCCAGATTTTCTAATTCCTGGGCTGGGGTGGAGCCTGAAGCGGTCATCTTCAACAAGCTCCCTGGTGGCGCTGAAGCTCCTGGTTGGAGATCACACTAAGCAAGCACCGGTCTCCTGATGGCTGCAGCAGCCCCGCCGGGGGCCGGGATCCACTCACTCCTCTATGCAGGCATGGAGCTGGCAGTTTACCACTTGGAAATAGAACCAAGGCCTGAGCAGAGGGCAGGAAGGGCTGGGGAGTGAAGATGTCCCCCGACTCGCCCCATTCCTGCACACGGGTAGGCTGGCCCACAGCCCCTGCCTTAGCTCAGGCCCTGGCTCCCACTGCAGTCACACAAAGCCCCCTTTCACCGGCAAGGCTTCTGCTGCGCCACAGAGGCGGCTCAGGAGGTTTGGTTAACCTCGTTAGGAAAACAAACAGCCCCTGGACCACGAGCTTGTGGGCGCCACGGGGTACAGAGGCGGGATTCTTCTCTGGGCCTGGGCTAGGCGGGTGGCAGCGGAGAGGTGGACTGGCCAGGAGGGGCCCAGCCACTGGGGGCTGTCTGAGCCACGGTGGACCTTGCCTGCTCCACCCCAGCCCAGCTCAGGTCACCAGTATCACCTTGGACAAACCCCCCTGAGGCGCAGGGTTCTTATCTGTCCTTATCCAGGGTCCTCACACAAGAGTGGTGTGTGGATTAAATGACAGCAGCTTCCACAGCGTTTGGCATGGGGCCCAGCACACAGCAGAGAGATGTTAGCTATTATTGACTGAATTATGTGAATTTGCTGTTTTCGTAGGCAAAACACGGCAGGGTCTTACCAATGATATGGTTCATCCTGATGGATACTGACTCACTGACAACAAAAGCAGATTCTCCTATTTCTTCTGTACCCTGAGACGGCAAGGTCAGCATAAAAAAAAAATTAACTATTTCAACTACTAACACTGCAATAAGGATTTTTCTGATTTCCTCCATATTGTGCAACCAAAAATAGTAAAGAAATAAATTGGAAGCAGAGGTTGATATAAATCACCAACTATGCTGTTCATCAGAACAGCCTCAGAGTTCTTACTGATTACCTTGTTAATAAGTACATTTTATAAATTGAAATTAAGGGAGGAGACCACCCCTCATATTGTCTTATGCCCAATTTCTGCCTCCAAAGAAAGAAGAAGTAAAAACTAAAAGGCAGAAATGAAATCCACAGGCAGACAGCCCGGCGCCGCACCCTGGGCCTGGTAGTTCAAGATCGACCCCTGACCTAATCGGTTCCGTTATCTATAGATTACAGACACTGTATAGAAAAGCACTGTGAAAATCCC